CAACAGATGAGCATAAATGTACAACTCTAAAAGGGAAACTTGATCACAGAGACCAAAGTGAAGTCTGATATTTTCTAGATCTTACTCAAATGTCCTCTCCCCATTAGTTACCATATCCTATTATAGTTCTTGCCACATTGCACCGTGACTTATCAGTTTAAGAATCTAGCTCAGCTAGACATTGAGAAGTTCATATGCCATTAATAAAATCATTGAGGAGGAGGGATATCTATATGAACAGGTTTTTAATGCACACAAACGTGCTCTATTCTGGAAAAAAAAATGCCACAAGGGACATTTATTAGTAAGAAAAAGAAGCAAGCATCAGAATTCAAAGCAGGAAGAAATAAGCTAACTCTAATGTTTTGTTTAAATGCAGTCAGATTTATGATGAAGACTGTCTTGGCAACTGGAAAAATGGCAGACTAGAAGCAGCCCGTGAACATGCCGCTCCCAAGGAAAGAAGTGAAAAGTGTAGGCAGCTGCCTACATTCAGATCGCTCTTCTCTGAAGTAACATTATGAAATCACTGAGAAGTAACATGGGACACTCAGTGTGGAAAAAAACGGTGACAGGGCAATCCATATAATAAGATCAGAGAATATGTGGGGAAGACTAGACAGAGCCCTGGGGCACCATGCTCACCCTGCTGAGACAGTGCGAATTGTGAGACAGCTCCCTCCACTGCCACGGACCTCTACCGGGTCAGACCAGGGACCTACCTGGAGTCTGAGCAGAGACACTGCACCAGACAACAGGCATGGTGGGGACTGGGCAGCAGCTAAAGCCATCCTGAGCTCTTGGATGCATGGCAACACCAGGTCCACACCAGCCTGGGGAAGGTATCTTCTCTGAGCCATACCTTGTGACTTGAAGCCAAGCACTTCTACCCTAGAGTGCAATGGGATCTGAGCACAGGAATTGACCAGGGTGCAGCAGGCTCTGACCTGAGAGGGTTTGGGCAACTGCTTCAGCATGTCCTGTGTGGGGTGGGGAGAACTCTGCGGTCCCTGGGCCACTGGAACCAACCTCTGTCTGCCTGACTTGGCATCTGTGGGGTCCCTGAGCCTGCGGAACAGCCTGCCACTTGCTTGCCCTGACTCCTCCCTCTGGGCCCCAACTGCCTCCTTCCTGTTCTGCCCAGACACCATCCTCCACGTCAGATCAGCCCCATCATCTGCACAGCCCTACTTCTGGCTCAGAGGCCCTGCTCAGAAGCTCTGCTTCTGACTTCCCCCCAAGTCCTGGCTCTGGGGCTCTCACACCGGAGCCCAAGGCTCCACCTCTGTGGCTCCAGAACTCCTTCCAGGCCCAAGACCCCATCCTGAAGACTCCAGCACTGCACCTGGACCCCAACATCCCACCCCAGAGCCTCCACAACCACTGCACAGCTGGAGGAACTGCTCCAAAGTCCAACACTCCACCAGGGCACCCCCAGCCTTAAGCCACCAGTACACCGTGACCTGGTTTGAGCAAATTCCCACAGCCTGGGAAGCCATGACAATCTCACCCAACTGTTGCTATTATCTCTGTGGGGAGACCCTGGGAAATCCTAGCCTCACTGAAGAGGGTCTCATCCAGCTCCCAACTCAAACATCTTACAACTACTTGGTGAACAACCCAACATCTATCACAAACGGCATTCAGCACTGGCTTGAGCAGAGGCAATCATAGGTGAACAGAACAAATCAGAACAGCTGCATTACAGGCTTCTAGTGCACACACCCCTCTTCTGCCATGTCAACATTCCAGAGTAGAGGGAATAAAAGTGCCATCTAGGGATCTCCCCTTACTCTAATCAAGCAGGAGAGGTCCCAGAAAGGAACAGGAGCCCTGCAAACCTATTAGCCCTGAGTTGTGAAAAGAGGTTTCAGATGAGAAGAAACCAGCAAAAGAACCCTGGCAACATGAAAAATCAAAACAGATTAACACCATCAAGGGATCACAATGGATCTACAGCAGTGAACTCTAACTACAAGGAAA